AGGCTGAGGGATAAGAAGGATAAGCAGAATAGGAGTGGTGATATGCTGTGTTTGATGCAAGACCTGCTTGCTCAAAACAGCAGTTTGATGGATAGTTTGTTGGAGCAAAGAAGTGAATTGTTTGACAAAATAGATAGACTGAAAGGAGAGCTTGTGGAGAAAGTGAGGGCTGCTGAAAAGAAAACAAGAGGAGACATTAGGTTAGTAAAGGCTGAGTTGGAGGCTAAGACTAGTGCTCAAGTGAAGAAGTTGGGAAAGAAGTTGAATGAATTAAAGATGGAGAATGCAAGGTTGTTTGGAGAGAACACTAGGCTGAAGGAAGAGTGCAAGAGGTTGAAGGACATCATCTCCACTTCACCTACTCCTATGGAGTAGGACAGGTTCTATCACCCCTCTTTAGTTTCTTTTATTTATTTTATCTTGTTTTGTTTTTCTTGAAGTCTGGGATTGTCTTTTATATTTTCTAGTTTATTTTCTTGCAAAGAACACAAATGTTTATAATTGCCATATGCCTGTATAGCCAAAATAATTCTTGTAATTTAGTTACACTTTCTAATCATTTGGTATCACTAGAACTAGCTTGTTTTGCTTGGGAACACATTTTGATCCACATCATATGCTCAACTAAGAAAGGATGTAGGCCCTTTGTTCTTTTCTCAAAATTTTAGCCATTTGTAGCCATTGCATAAACAACCACTTATATACTTCCAATGAGAACATTGAAAAATCTGAGTTTGGGGGAGGGTACCAACATGGTTATATTGATCAAAACAATGCAAAAGAGCACAAAGTGCCAAAAGTGGAGATCAAAGTGCACAAGGTGCATAAAGCTTCAAAGCCATATTTGAGATCTAAAAACACCACAAATGTCCCATAGGGGTAGGTGTAAACAACAAAAATTTCCCATAGGGGCAGGTGTAAATGCATTCAACAAAAGAGCACAAAGTGCCAAAAATTGAAAAAATTAAGGTTAATGCATAAAGGAGAGAAAAGGCAAAGAGAGGAAAAAATGTGCCAAATGAGAGTAAACCAATTACTTCCAAGTCCTATTGATCTTAGACATATGATGTGTTGAGCATAACAAAGAGCAAATAGAGTTAGCTTATGGTTTTTGCTAATGGTTAGTTAGGATATGCTTAATTAAGATTTATGAAAGTTATATGGTGCATTTTGGCATAATCAACATGTGTATGCACTTACTGCATTTTCTTGCAAAATTTTAAATTTGAGTTATTTTTAGTTGTCTTTTGGTTGCTTGGGGACAAGCAAAGGTTTAAGTTTGGGGGGGTGTGATACGTACTAAGTATTTAGTACGTAAAGTACCTTTTTATTCTCTTTTAGATAGGTTATTTTGCTTTCATATCCCAACTTTGAGTCATTTTATCTTTTTTCTCTGTTTTTATGCTAAGAAGAATGTTGAACCTGTTTTAGTGGATTTTGGTCTAAATTGATCCTATTTTGGACAGATTGAAGCAAGTTGATGCCGCGGGAATGTGGTAGCATGACCTGATGGTTGATATAGAGATGGATGAGACTTAGAAGATTGACATGATTTTGGAAGACATATGAAAGACTTCTAGTTGAACCAGCTGTATTTTGATCTGATTTGCTGGATGTTTAACAAGACTAGTTATAGTTCTTTTCTAAATAGTAGTTTGTAACTTGTATTTTTTAGTTGCTTTTGAACTAGGTGGGTGTGAAATGACTATTTTGCCCCCATATAATCCCTAGTATAAAAATGGATGTTGGGAGGAGCATTAAACACACCTCAACACCATCTTCTATTCCCTAATTTTCTCTCAAGTAGTTCTCCCAACTACTTGGAGAATAAGTTGCTTTCTCAATATAAAAATATCTTTTGGCATTTCAAAGTTCCATTTTAATTGCTTTATTTATATTATCGTTATTTATATTCCGTCTTTAATTTATTTATGCTTACTCGCATTTTATTTCAGTCATTTATTTATTACGCTTTCCGCATMTTTATTATTCCGTCATTTACTTTCTGCATTTATATTATGTCTTTATTTACCGCATTTTATATTTCTTGTTATTTACTTTTCGTCATGAGTAGCTAATTTTATTAGCTCGGGTGTATGACGAAAAGGGTGAGTTTTTAAAAACGAAAATATAGTCGACCCTTTTATGTAACAACGATGTTTTACTTTTTCATTTCAAGTTTTATAAAACCAATGACACTTCTTGACGAATTGATCACTTTGAAAGTGTTAAAGTGTCGTGGACTCTAAGCTGAGCCATTGTTTGCACGTCAACTTGGATGATATGGGAAGTAGACTTGAGAGAGTTGCTAATAAAGAGATTTGTTGTCCGTATTTTCTAAGTTGTTAATTCTCGAGGGGTTGATCACTCTGAAGTGTTAAAGTGGAATGGATTCAGAGATGAATCATTCAGAACACGTCAACTTGAATGATATGGGAATCCACTCGAGAGGGTGATTTTTAACAAAGAGATTTGTTTGTCCATATACTTTGAAGACACCATTTGTCACTTTCACTGGTCTGGATACCTCATAGAGATATGGGTTGAAAGCTATAATATCAGTGCATTGGTGAAGTCCGAGAGGAATACCTTCAACGTAATTGGTAAAAATAGCTGTTACTGATTGCATGCTGTAGCAATCCGTCAGCATGGTTTCATGCTGTAGCATTTTGACAGCATTGGTCGACTGGAAATAATTTTTACATCTCACCCTAAAAGTCATACACCCTAGCTTGCTTTATATTTTGTTATCTCCTGTTTTTAGTTGTGTTAACTCTGTTCTAATCAAAGTCTTCGAATTCGCCTTCTGAAATCATTTCCTTAACTTTACTTTCTTTTAAAATTTTACTACGATCCCTGTGGACGATATCCGGTACTTGTACCACTTTTATTACTTGAAAAACGATATTTGGACTATTTGTATACTTGCTTTTAGTCCTGATTGTTGTTTGTGGCTTGTGGTTTCCACGACCCATCAACACCCAAAATAGAAGCTTTTGTTTTACAAAAAGAATAATTTAAAGTTTAAAACCCTTCACTTCCAGAATAGAAAACTTTATGTTTTGAAACTTTCGAATTAAGACATTTAAATCCTAAATTTCAAAATATTGGAAATCTATGTTTTTAAAAAAACCTTAATTTCAAAATTTAGGGTTAGAAACTCCAACTTTCAAAATTAGAAACCTTTTGGTTTTGAAACACTCAAAACTTATAGAAAGAACCTTAGAATTTTTATGTGTGTTTCATAGATTCAATTTTCCCTTTGAATGTATGACAACAAACCCAAAACAAATTCTAATAAAGAAAACGATTTCTTTGTACTTGTATTATTGTAACCGTGGCTCTGATACCACTGTTTGGTTGGGATAAATTTCGATAACAAAAAACCATTCACAGCGGAAGCAAACAAAAATCACAACCCTCCAGAGATCTAGTTACAATCTTATACAAGTAATAAAATAAACAACGAAGAAGATTAGAAATACATTTAGATGAAAGTGAAAAATCCAATAGTAGGATTTTCTCTACCGTGTTCACATGCCAAAACTTTAATTGTTCATAAACAGCAAGAAACCGCCTTCTTTTCTCGTGCGAATTGCCAATACACACCACACTCTGATCTGATTATGTGTGTGTGTATAAAAGGTTCTCGGCTGCCCTTTAGAGTAGGCGCCTATTTTAGGTTCTGAGGGAGGAGAGAGCGGCCGTAAAAATTCTTAGCTAATTAGGTTTAGGAGATTAGCTTTATATAAAGATTAATCTCAAAACCCTAATCCTAATGGGCCACGACCTGTTCTAAATAAAGCCCACAATAGGTTTAGACTAATAACTAATTAATTCTTCTAGTAATTAATTAACACTTTAATTAATTACCCATTAATCCCTCAAATATTGCTTCTTGCTTTTACATTAATTAAACTTTGTGTGCGACCCAATAGGATTATGCTATTAACTATCTTGTTGTGTATATGGGCATATCTCCAACATATGCAACTTGCCCTTTCGAAAAACAACTAAGATCTTGTTATTTCAGATCAACGCCATAATATCTAAAGATTATCTTAGTTCTTCAAATTTGAAAGAGAAATTTCTTCCCCCATCTCTTTAAGTTTAGTAAATTTGTCACCAGTCAGATAGTTTAGGATCACAGGTCTTACCTTCCTAACTTTCGCAACACATCTGTAATTCTTTGTTTTTACACAAAATATAGAGCAAAAATTAAAATTGAAAATTTGTTGTATTTGTTTTCAATTTGTTGTGTTTGTATTCAAACCCCCGTCTACAAACATCTGTGCTATAAGTCATTAGCCCTTTTAGGACCAACATATATGATTGACATAAAAATAGAGGTCACCGACAATTATCTCTTTTGCCCCTCTCTTGGAGTCCCAAGTTTGCTAGACTTGATAAAATTTTCTCCATATATGTTGGAACCTGTATTCTCTCTTCAAGAGCTTATTTTGTGAGTAAACTTGGGGTTTTCCATATATTCTACATGGTATCACAGCCAAGTTCTACATCTTGGGATATCTTTGCCCGGGGCTCGGCACTCTGGGACATCTTTGTCAGCCTGTGATAACCGGGTTTTTGGTTAAGCACTTAAGGTAATCCTTACGTGATTATTATTTGATTATGTAAAAATATGCATATCTATGTAAGAGATAATATGTATGCATGAGATTGATAAATATGCATATGTGAATGCATGATTTATATTGTTAACATGCATGAGATTATTAATATGCATGTATAACATACATGGTTTTGGTAGTAATGCATGTATGTGCGCATAAACTATATTATGCCGGTGTTTTGGGAAGGTATGTGTGTATATGTATAAGGTGATAAAAAGAGTATTATATTATTTTCCTTCAAACCGCTTCTTTTAAAGATAAGATAAGAAGAAGAATATTTTATATTTCTTTCTTCCAAACCACCTTTGATTGGAATATAAAAAGAAGGTTTTCTTTTGGAAAGAATTATCTTCTATATTGAGAAAAAAGAAACATGTGAGAGAGTTTAGTGTGAGAGCTTTCTTCTAAAAATTCAAAAACTAGAATTTTGGGGCTTGAAGTTGAAGTAGTTTCTGTTGTATTTTAAAGGTGAGTTTTTGTTTCAAATATCCAATCTTTAAACTTGTAATGATTTAGATTTTGTGTGGAAACTGTTGTGATGAGTCCAGATTTCATACAAACATGGTATGATCTTCATAGATTGTGATGAACATCAAAGTAGAAAGAATAATATCAAGATTGGAGAGAGAGAGAGAGAGAGAGAGAGAGAGAATTACATCAGCAAATCTTGATTTCTGATTAATGACCAAAAGCTTAATTACAATTACAAGGTAAATCCTATTTATACTAGGAAATATAAAGACTAAGATATTACTAGGAAACTATACTAAGGAGAAACTTGAATACAACATTAAGCACTAACTTGAACCCAACATTCTCCCCCTTTGGATTCAAGTTTGGACTCTTGTAAACTTCGTTTTGCGCAGTCCAAGGATTTTCTCTAACCTTCTCAGAGCATTTCTATACTAAATCTTCTCCTCGAGCAAATTGATAGCGTTGACGAGCAAGTATCTTTCTTTGGAATTCATTCGTTCAGATTCAGTAGCCTTTTCGTCCATCACCCTCTTCAAGTCCAGCGCCYTTYTTACAAGCTTAATCGTACCGTCAGAATACTTGTTTAACTCACTAAATCTCATGAACTTTTTAACTTGAAGTTGAGCATAGTAGATGACCCAGAACTCTGGATTTTCTAGAACCATGTAAACTGGATAGCCGTCAATGTCTTCAAKATCTTGGTTTGGTCTTTTGAGGTTGATAATGCGTTGATTGTCTTCAAGACCCATTTGTACATCTATGACCATTACCAGCTTTACATGACAACGAATGAATCTTTTGATAGCCTCCAAAGCTACCAGTTCTCCTTCTTTTCTAATTGTCATATTTTTAAGTTCGAAGAACATGTATTCAAGRTCATCCAAATACAAGTTCGAGAAGTCAGCTTCGCTAAACCTCCAAATCTGGCCATCCTGTCTGGTAACTGTGAAGACAGGATACCAAATTCTCAATAGCTTCTGAGCATCTATCTGTTTTATCGTGACAATTCGATGCTTGGTACGTACTTCACTGACTGGTTGGCACTTGGCTTTTAGAAGATGACGATATTCAATTCGATACTCTTTTGGCTTCTTATGGATTCCTAGAACTCTGTCAGCACAAAGCAGTTTTCTGTGACGAACGAAAATCCCAAAGTAGATATCTTCTAAATATGGCTCTCAGATTCTATCGCGATCATAACCAAAGAAATTTGCTTTGATATGGAAAGGAACGTAGTTCTTTGTGAAGATTTCTGTAGGATCAACAGTCTCTTTTGGAACACTGATTTCAGGCGCATCAGGTAGAATAGCAGTTGATGATTCTGGAATAGATTGAGGATCACCTTGAATGGAAAAAGCTGGATCTTCTTCTTCTAAATCAGCTTCAAAGTCAAAGTACAATCCAGTTGACTCATCAATGTTATCAACGTCTTCTCCAAAATCCCGCTCTCCACCCAAAGTAGTTGAGAATGCACTATTGAACCCTATGTTGGCAGACAAGTCCATTAGCAACCTTGTTTCTATCGTGGAGTCCGCTGGCTTTTCAACCATTGGCTCGATCATTGGACTTGCCTCCATTTCTTCATCTTCAATAATCACAGCCTCAATTATTCTTTCCYGAACTATTTTCGGGGCAGAACTTTCAACATTTACGTCCTGAGGTAGTGACTCTTCACCCAAACTTGCACCTTGTAGAGATGTCTCAGCCAATCTCTGCTTTTTCYYCTCCYCCTCATGACTATCAGGATCATCCTGATCGTCATGTCTTCGTTTAAGAGAGTCGGCTTGAGACTTGCAAGTTTCTTCAAGTATAGACACCCTTTCGACAAGAGCATCCATTGTACGTTTCAGATCTAGGGTATTAGATGTGATCAAGTTACTAACTTTAGAGAAATTAGCACTAATCACATCCTGAAATGTCAAAAACTCTGAGGCTCTAATCACAGGGTTAGCATCTATTTGTTGGCGGAGAAGACCAACCAAATCTGCATCTTCCGCGTCTTTGCTTTGGGAAGCCATCAACTTAGCATATAAAAGTGATTTTAGCTCGTCCACCGATTGATCTGGTATTGACGGTTCTGGTACATGTGGTGGTGATGGCGCAGATGTTGGCTCTTCTACAACATGCTCTTTTCCCTTCAATAACCTCTTCAAACTAGCAATTTGTGCTTCAAAGTTTTCTTGAACAGCCTTTAGGGAGCCGTCCAAATATTCCCGTGACACAAAGTCGGGTAAAATCACACCTGGTTCACGTAGAAGACCAGTTGAAACAACAGTTGAGTAAACTGTTGTGCCTACATTCAATGTTGACGTAATATTAGCATTGGTAAGACTTCCGACCTATCCTTGTGATATGTCAGAAGATATCACTCTGGTCGTTCTRGCTAGTTYACTTAGAACARCACTTGGAGCAACAGATGCTCCTGACTCTTGTGTACCTATGTGTATGGGCTCTAAACTCGAGGTGCACAGAATCAAAGGCGTAGGCTGGGGCAGCGGCCTACTAGTTTCAATAACTACATTCTCCAAATCAGAAGTAGTTAGTGTATGTGCTAAATCCCCGTGAGAAATTGAAACAGTTGGTTGTTGAGAACCAACTGAGTGGATAGGAAGGGTGTGCAATTGCATAGYTRGGCTAGCTATGTCTTGTTCAATACTAACATTCAACAAATGAATGTCAGTAGCAGATGTGGGTGCCCGGCTAACTATTTCAGTTTGGATAGGAGCTTGTACTTCTTTTTCTGCTCCTCTCACACCCTCTCCATGTTCTTTTGCTTCCCTTTCTCTCAAACTCTCTTGTTTTTCAACTTCAACTCCCTCATCTCCTCCTCCAGTAGATATATCTTGAAGAATGGGATCATAGTCATCAACATTAAACGATAGAGATCTTAGACTGGGACAAGGTTGTTGAGCTGCAAATTCAGGGAATATCATAGCAATATCATCAGCAAATGTTCCAATATGCTGCGCATTTGTTGCATCATCATCATCATCATTGTTATCATCATCACAAGAATCTTCTCGTTTGTCTGATTCAGTAGCTTCTGAACTAGATGAAGCTCGGGCAGTTAAAGTGCGCTGCTGATCAGAAGCTCCCCGCACCAATTCACCCCTCTCAATTACATTTTCTCTCAGCTCACTACCCTATTCAGGTACCCCTTGTGCCTGAACTCTCTCTTCTACTTCTATATCTCTCTCAGCTGAGGCATGGGGTGATCCTTGGGCAAGTTCAACCGGTTCTGGTTGAACTATCGGATCTATCACTCTCCTATAGTCTATAACGCACTAAGCGTTCTGATCAGCAAGAGCAATCAACTCTGGTGGAACAGGCATAATAGAATCCAAATCTTCAACTTCCTTATGCTATCGAATTCTTGTCATAACGAATGCTGGCCCTTTTTCTGAATTCGGTCTGGCCGAAATATCTTCATTTGCATCCATCATGGCTTTAATAAAGAGTTGCAGAAATCTTTGAAACGGCACAAACTTTCTGGCGGACATGAACCGTTTAGCATTGACCAACTCAAGCAATTCATTCCAGATTACAAGTGCATAGTCATAGTGTCGTGAAAACATGGTATGATCTTCATAGATTGTGATGAACATCAAAGTAGAAAGAATATTATCAAGATTGGAGAGAGAGAGAGAATTACATCAGCAAATCTTGATATCTGAATAATGACCAAAAGCTTAATTACAATTACAAGGTAAATCCTATTTATACTAGGAAATATAAAGACTAAGCTATTACAAGGAAACTATACTAAGGAGAAACTTGAATACAACATTAAGCACTAACTTGAACCCAACATTTTGATAACTTATGCAGCTAAAATGGGTTTATTTTCTGGAAATTTAAAGGTCAAAGAGAACCTATATCGAACAGTGTTGTCCGATGAAAATTTATTTGATAAAAGTGGTTTTCGGATAGTATTATCCAATGGAAGTATGTTTAAACCTTTTGGGATTAAAAGAATATTTTGTATCTTTTAAATAAGGTTGTAAATCTGAAAAAGATACTGTTAGAATCTTTTTTCAAAATGGTAGTGACATCAGGTCTGTTTTGAAAGAAAAGAGTTTTCAAAGGTTTCTTCAGGACGGTTGTGACTTCAGTCTGTTATGTTGAGACAGAGTTTCTATGGGACGGTTGTCATTTCGGTCTATTTCGGTGTGAAACTTTTTGAGAATGTTTCTACGGGACGGTTGTGACTTTGACCTATTCCGGTAACAAACTGTTTTTGAGGCCATTATTGGCTAAAACTACAGATGATGTTCCTTCAGGACCGTTGTGACTTCGGTCTGTTCTGATTGGAAATAATGTTTCTATGGGACGGTTGTGTCTTCGGTCTGTTCTAGTATGAAACTCTTCATCTCTGTAGATTTGAGGAGGGGATAAGGGTGGCATACCATGGGATAAGAGTGGCAGTTGGATAACTCTGGTTATTACATTAGCAAGAGATAATAGCTCTGGGGTTAACATTTCTTTGTGATTTGGGAACTTAGAGATATTGCTCTTATTGAAATAATAAATTGGATGTTATTGAGAAGAGGAAAATCGTCTCTTAGCAAGAGGCATCAATTGCCTTTGATTTCAAATAATTTTGATGAAATCAGAGTATTTAGCTTTGTAGTTGATTGTGAGAAAATAAGTATTTGATCAGAATCATAAGAGCTCTGGTTGGTCTGCAGCCTAGACCAGAGAACTTCTGGTCGTTCGAGTCTTTTCAAAGTATGCTCGGCACCAGAGAAGCTCTGGTAGATCTTTAAAACAAACTAGAGGGCTTTTGGTTATACGATAAATCTTTTCAAGTGTTTTCGGGAATATTATGATCCAGAGGCTCTGTATGTGCTATACGGAGGTTCTGTATCGAGGAGTTGGTCATGCAATTAGGCTTTCAAAGTGTTTTCAAGATCTATAAGACATAGAGGCTCCGTATATATTATACAGAGGCTCTGCGTCAAGAAAATTGTATTTTAAAAACCTTTAAGTTTAAACTCTGTATTTGAGAAGGATGTTCGAGCTTTGTCTTTTTGAAATTTACCTTATTATATTTTATTTCAAGTCTTAATCTTTTAGATATCTCTTTACAAATAAAATAGAGAACCAGAGGAGCTCTGATTATATTATAATAATCTATTTTCTTAAATTTCTACTCTGGTTAAATAAAAGACTTGTCCTTTTGAGAGTTTAAGTATGGAAGCTCTGGTTGGTCGGAGTAGAGGCTCTGGGCAACTAGAGGAGATGTTTAATAAAAGAACTATGTTCGTTAGAGACAGAGGAGCTCTGGTCTTTAGAACCAGAAGGGCATTGGTCTTTAAGAACTCGGGGAGTCTGACCAGTTGAACTAGAGGAGTTTTACACCTCTGTATTTTATATGGAATATAAATTTCAGAGATCATGATTTTGTTTATATGAAGAGTTGATTTTAAATAAATTTTGGTGATCTTCACCCTGTAATTGCAAAGAAAGGGTTATCTCACTAGAGCTTCCGGTCTAGCCCTCATTTTGTGTTTTAAATATGCATTGCAGGACCAGCAGGGTCTCGGGATGTTAAAGGGAAGGGGAAAATCTGATTATTTTACTTATATGCTTAATATGTTGTTTGGAAGATCAATATGTTTTTGTGAAGATATATGTAGACATACATATGTTAGTTCAGAGTTTTCTTTTGGAAATTTTTAGATGTAAATTATGTCCATATAGAAACTCTGTACTAGTGGGATCAATGTGGTGTAATATGTATTTCTTTTATATGAAATATATGTTATATGCAAATGTGAAGTTTAGAGTGTCTCACACAGCCCGACCCTTCTCGACACTCTTGGACTTTTTTTTATCCATCTAGACTGATTTGGAGGGGGTGAGTTAGTCCCACATCGACTAGAATTGGACAAATTGTCCTTTATAAATGTTAGGAACCTCATTTTATACTTAAGGACTCTTTTGAAGAGTAAACTTGGGGGTTCCGCATGTTCTTACATCCTCTTGTAGTTTCTAGGTCACGCATTTCCAGGGCTGAAACTTTTGGTATTTTTGAAAGATCTTAGAAGGTCAAGTTCCATCCCTTATTGCTGCATTTGTTGTCCATATAGACTCGAATACAATTGGATATAATGGCCATTGTCATGGAGAGTGAGGTGATCGAGGTGGACATAGGGCAACCAATACATCCCAAGTTGTCGAATATGCGAAGTTGAGGGACAGAAAGTTGATCGTCGTCGCCAATATTGGCTATTGGCATACGTAGATAATGGTTAAGGGGGGTCAATTAACACATAAATTTTTTAAAATTTTGGTTTTTATATTATAAATATTAATTTTTATTAATATATATTTTTTCGACCCTCAACAAAGATAAGCTTCGTCCTTATAAAAAACTTTAACCCAGTTTCATTGTCAATATTTCATATTAATTAATTGCTAGGGTTATGGGTTGTTAGTTGATGTTAGCTCCATTATTCCTATCTTGTAAAAGAATAGAAAAAGTATATTGTAAGACTTGACAGAAGGTTAACTCCACAGAAGACAACAGAGGACTAGCGACAGAAGCC